CCAAAGATCCTAGGATTAGGAATCAGGATTTAAAAGCTGATTTCAAGTGCTGAATCAATTTAATACAAAATTTCACAATAGCAGCATTACCTTACAAGAACATACAGATGGATACATAAGCTACCACTTCTGCAAACAAGATGACGGCAGGTTCTGGCTGAATGTGCATACTTACTATGAACTACATAAATTTACAGATATTAAGATTCAAAATTAATAGGAGACATCATATGCACATGTAGCTTCTGCTCTCTTTCCAAGTACCGTATGTTCCTACTCTTACAGGTTGTTTCCTACTGCTCAGAAATGTTTAGGGAGTTGCCTAATACATGTCTAAAAACTGAATTAACAAATCTCCCCAGACTTTATTAATTGTGAACACAAAGGAAGATTTTTCCCTAGGAAAGTCTGTAAAATTGTAAGGCAGGTAGCAACTACAAGTTTTTTTCTGTGGTCTCTTTTCAGAATAGGTTTAAAAGGAGGCAGAGCTCCTTAGCCAACAGATACTTTTTTTTGCATTACTTTGCAGATTTATATTACACATTCAACTGAGTACTAAAAAGGGAAATAAATGTTCTTTTATTGTTCCTCATTTATATTATCTATTCCACAACTAGATAAGGATTTCTGTTTTTCATGATGAGTCCAGGTTCCACACTTCTCTAACAACCAGTATGTTAAACTCTTCTTCCTTAGTTTCTTTCCCCAAGTTCCTCCATCCTTGCTCACTACATGTGCCAAGAGCAAAATCCCCATCCAGTTATTTTGCTGTATCCTTTCTTCTCTTGTCGCTTAACAACACCTTCAATCCCAAATTTTCTTTTTTTTTTTTTTCCTGGTCCTTACAAAAAAAACCCTAATTCCCTCCCCTAGGTTCTCCATTAAGAAACAAAAAAGCTGAATACAAACCATACTGTATTGATTGATTGCACTGAATTGTGCCTTCCTCTGCAAACCAACTGCAAACATAACAACATGTAAAAAATACTAAGTTGTCGGCTGTTCTGAGCCACAAAGAAGCCAGAATTAGTTCCCATCCATTATAAATCAAGATACAGATCACTATCTTCAGCCATGCACTTAATTAGATAACTGCCACTGTTAATAATGTTTTTAAAGCTCCACCCCATTTAAAAACCAAACGAGGCCATAAATCACAGAATCACAGAATGGTAGGCGTTGGAAGGGACCTCTGTGGGTCATCTAGTCCAACCCCCCTGCCGAAGCAGGGTCACCTACAGCAGGCTGCACAGGACCTTGTCCAGGCGGGTCTTGAATATCTCCAGAGAAGGAGACTCCACAACCTCCCTGGGCAGCCTGTTCCAGTGCTCCATCACCCTCAGAGGGAAGTTCTTCCTCATGTTCAGACGGACCTTCCTATGCTTCAGTTTGTACCCAAATGTTCCTCTGGAAGAGTAGATACTATAAGTTTCCCAACCATCACACTAGCAAGTATGGCCTTCTGATTATTAGGCTGGGGTTTTTTTTAACCTTTCTTTTCCCTATGGAAAATACAAGCATCTGTGGAAAAAAACGTTATACCTATGTAAAGCATATTCATTACAAAGGAGACTTGAAGGCAATCTGTTATTTTTAAATTTCATTTTAATTCCAGAAGAAAACTAGTAGAAAATCTGGATGCTTGGAAATTATAGTGCTGAGTATTAAAGAAAAGCCCTGAACAACATAGGCCCTTGATGATTTCTGTCTCCTAAATCCACACCTCCAGCCTGGGCCACCTGTTGTTAAAAGGAGGACTTCTGACAGATACCAGCCTACACTGAAGGGTCCACTGCACGTGACATAAAAAAGCAACCCTTACCACATATACCACCACGAGATGTTACACTCTTTTCTTGATGTAACTTCAGTGATGCTAGGTAGAGGTTATATAAAGGTCTACGTATAAACAGCTGCCAAGCCTGAAAGCATGAGAGTAACTTTCGCACATGAGTGGCCAGAGCCACCACAATGTGTTTCAAGATAGAGGCTGGACCCTCCTTCACCAGCAGCAGATAAATCTTTGCCCTGACCTAGATGAATGTTTAACAGTTGAAGAACATCGGAGCATGAAGGACATAATTGAGGAGGAACACAGGAGAAGAATGCAATTTCTTCCATCTGAATCCTAAAAGAAACAAGCAGTTTGAAAGTTTTGAAATAGCGTATAGACAAATCAATTCAGGCTGTGAATTCTAAGGCTGTAGCTCCCAGCAGCTCTCACTAAAGCTCAAAAACCCCCAGAGTGGGGCCAGTTTTCAGACACACAGCAAGGCTGCTCCCCTCCCCACTGCTCCTTCCCGCCAGTCTAGCTTTTCAGGCAGTCACCCTCACACGGCTTTGCCTTAAAACCGAGACAACTAACTTTACTAGGCATGGCAAAGGAAAGGAAACCTGTGACAAGGACAACTTTGTCAATTACAGTTCCTTTATTAAATGGTACACTGCAGCAACATCAACTGAAATAAATACAGTTATTGGTACATAATACAAAAATATAACCCTTCATAAAGCTTATACTATGCTAGGAATTATGTATGGAGCTCAAACAGTTGACTTATGTCATTTTCTCTTAAATAATGTGGACAGGTACACTCAGCCAAAAGAATGTAATAACATTTTCTCTAATTTGAATACAAACACACGAAGAGCAGTTTATCAGTTCAATGTATCCATACATCACACCTCAGTTCAGATTAGAGAGCAGATGAACAGTTTTTCAAGTTTTCCCCTTGCCACTGTTCTCTATCAATAGCACAGTGGTTCTATAACCGAACAGTGAATTAAATTTTCAATAGTAGCATTTATTAGCAGATACATAAAAGTATTATTCAGACAATCAGCTTAAGGCACCATGGTTTCCACAACAGACACATGAAATTACTGGCAAAAAACAATTTTAAAGAAGGGTATGAGTGTTCAGCTAGCATGACAAACAACAATCCATATTTTAAATATATTCTTGACAATATCTTCAGTTGACTAGTGTGGCTTTTGTTTATTCTTTTAAAAAAGTAAAATATATGATTTTGACATTACTACAATCTCAAGAATGCCTCAAATCTTTGGAAAAAAAAATTCTCTCTTCATCCCTCCATTTTAAAATGTGAAAAAGTCCAACTGTCACTCTTGCAAGACAATTCTTTTACAGATTTTTTAAAAAAATATGGTTTCCAACACGTTATATAGTAAAAAGTCCACTAAATTATTTTGTTCTCCTTTAACAGGAAGTATATCTAGCTGCTGCTATCTGCCCCCCACCCCCCTTCTGTATTCTGTCTGTCTCTGCTATCAACAGCACTGGTGAACAATTCATTTAAATGAAATAAGGTTTCTCCTGAAGTCTTACAGAGCAAACACGAGTCCTTGATTTGCTCAAGTTCTCTTCCCTAATAATATCCCATGATACTGGCTGAAAGTTAAAACAATACGAAGTGGAACTAACATCCTGACAGCACCTGCTACAAAGACCCCGATGGCTATCCTGTTAAAACTCTCTTAAACCCCAGTGTGAAAAGTAGGATTTGAATAGGAGAGGACAAGGAATAAATTCGTAAAATTGTACTACAGAAGTTGTGCGTTCCAAATTGTACATGGTAGTTCAGACACAGAATTACAGTTGAGACATATCCACAGAACCATTCTGAATTTCAGAAAATGTTCCAAGCCACATCACAAGCCAACATCAAAAGATTACGAATATGACAAAGTCACTGCAGCTGACCTAGTTCCACTCACTGAGGAGGGGACAGAAAAAATTAGCAGTGGTAAAACACAGTAGATTTGGAATCACACATTACCTACTTTAAGAAGTATTTTCCAAATTGCTATCAATTCTGACAATATCCCCTCCATTTACCTATCCCTGCATTTCAGAGTAGGCCTGGCTGCAATTAATTGTAATAAATAACCAACACCCACTATAGTGTTGATATATTATTCCACGAATCCCCAAAAGCTTTCATTGGTGTATTTATCTACATGGTCAGTCAAAACCTTGGCTCTTCCTTGCACTTGGTGCAGGGAGTTGATGAGATTTTTCTGTGCCTTACAACAACATCAATCTTGAAGTCAGCCATTTTATTGCCAGTGTAGTGAATAACCCCAAGGTTCTCCCCATTTTCCTGTGACAAATGCCAGCAGCACATGAAATGCAAAGTTGCCCTTCATTTCCTCTTTTGCCTTAAGGCCCAATGAGAAGCAGTCTTTTTATACTGTTTCTGCACCTTTTGCGCCTGAACTTCTAAGTTTATCAACTTTCACACTGTCCTTCATTTCCTGAATTTCAGTGAAACACTTCCTCAGAAGTAAACTACACAGGCCACGTGTTGTCATATGTACAGTCAGCTATGAAGAAACGTATCTCAGATTCCAGTAACTCAATGAGCAATAGTGACATCCCCCATTTCAAAGAAACTTAAAATAAATAATTTCAATTAAAATACAGCTTCAACCACGACAGCTGTGTAACCTATCAAAAGTAAGAACTATAGAGAATTAATCTTGCTATTGTTATCTAATCATTGGCTTCTTGCACCACAGGAAATTCTGACTCAATCAACAGGAAAATTTTCTAAGCTACTAGCTAAAATCCAGACGTAAGAACGACAAACCCATGAAAAAAGGTTGCAATTACATTCTGTATGTTAAAACCAGACATTCTTCACTTAAGTGAACTACCCATATCTTAGGGTCAGAAGCGGTCACAATCAACTTTGGTCATGTTCTGCATGTGCTCAGATCTCTGAACAACTGGTAACTTTTGGATACACAATTTAACTGCAAGGACCTAAAACAGCCTTCTACTTCTTTCGCATGACTGGGTTAATGACGAATTAACACAAGGAAGCTGAAATCATCTTGCATGGTTGGTTCCAACCTCAGTTACCTAAGCAGACATATGACAACAAAGTACCTATAAAAGCAGCGCAAATATAAAAGCTCTATGACAGGGGAGGGAAAGAAAAAAAGAAAGGAAAAAAAGCTCAGCATGGGTTTGCTCAGTGGTTGTTCACAATTTTGCCTTCTGGCAGATGAAAGAAGTTGTCTTCTTTGAGCTTAAGGTGTTCTGGTAAATCCAGCTGCCTCTTTGCCTCTTCAATATCTTCCTGAATTGCTGAAATGAGCGCCTCTGAAAAAGACAAGAACAGCGACATCGAAAAATCAGTTTGGATTCTGAACACACAATAACAAGTGAAAATAAGATGTACCACAGAATACCAGACAACTATCCCAGAAGTAGAATATAATTACTACCAGAATGTTTGAAAGGCAAAATTTGATTTCAAAAATTGGTTTTAAAATGTGGAGGGTTTTTGTAACATGCCAGAGTTGCATTTTTCACCATCATAATCACTACACTCTCCTTGTTCCGAAAGACATTACAGCAAAAGATCAACAGAGTTTCATGAACCGTTTCAAGTCTGATAGAGCTGCACGTCAAGAAGTAATTAACAGACTAGACTGATGCTTTTACAACAAGTCCATGACTTTAGAATTAGTCCTCAGACAAATGACACAACAATACAATTTTTTAGTGTGATACACTGGAAGACGTGGGGGTATTTTTTTGATTAAACCACCTTGTACATGTAGCTTATGAAAACATTTTACTGACATTTCAAAGGTTAACAGATAAAACATCTCATTATGGAAAGAGAGACAGTGGGGACGCAGTACTTGCATGAGTAAGACAAGTAAGAGGCTAGTTTGAGGGAGGTCTGCAATACTGACCTAAGGAATCAAAGTTTTTTTCTGGTCGAATATATCCAATTATGACTATACTAAGAATTTCGCCATAGAAGTCTTCTTTGAAGGTGTGGATAATGTGCGTTTCCTAAAGGAAGAGAAATAAGTTGTCATCTATGATGAATTTTAAGTGTATTTCCCTCACTGTAAGGATTTATAGCTAATATCCCTAACTCAAATTCTCCCCAACATAAACCATTAAAAGGGGTGTTTAGTTTAGTACATACAATACAAGATTAAAAGGCTAGTGCTTTTGCTTATATTAGAAAGGAGAACTGTACTTTGCATGCAATTTAAGACAAATTACTCATTTAAGAGTACTCTGATAGCCAAAAATAAAGAAAAGCAAGCCTTACTTAGGAAAAATGCTTCATCACTTCTCAGAGGTAAGATTTCCAAGGAAGCAAACCACAAACAAAGCTTTATGCTTCATCATAAAGTTGATGCATCCAAATAACAATGAAGATTTTCATTCAAGTAGTTGGCTTAAGGAGAGCTTTTACAGCCAGCTTGCACGGGAACCGAATGATAAAATTCAGGAATGAGTGAAGGCCAAGATAGGGTTCAACCTTACACTCAAAACTATTTTATGGGCATCTACCTCTCCAACACAGGCCCACCCACAGCATATGCCAGCAGAGATATCAGATGGAAAGCTTTCAACTACTTGCTCAGAAAAGTGATCTGCAAAAATTTTTAAAAGTATACATTTGTGTAAGACAAGCACAGTACAGTGTCTTCAAACACTTAGAACCTTAGAAGCAGATTCATGCCCAAACAAAAGCGTTTTAAATGGTTAAAATGGAGCTCTGCAAGACTTACGAAAAGCACCAGCACCTGACGGCAAGACAGTAACAGCTGTCACAGCTCAAGATTTTGCCTCAACTCCTCCATCCTCTTATTACGTACATGCAAATATTTATTCCGTATATCAAGCTACAGCACCACACGTATGGATGCCACGATTTCAGAGAAGAACTAACAGAAAATCATTGCAAATTAAGATGCTCCAATATCTCTTATTTGAAACGCAGACAGATTGCAAAGAACAATAGATCAGTACGTTCCAGTTTGTGCTAGGGCTCTCATAACGAGTAAATTCAATGCATCTATCAAGCTTATGTTTCGTTAGCTAACAGCACCATAAGCAATCACAATTTCAGAAATACTGTTAAATTTTTCTTTTGGAACTATTTAAACAACAATGGACTAGGAAGAAGAAAATTAACTTTATTCACCTACAGCTGCATACTCTCTGTCTGTTGAGAGTATTTCCTTTTCAGAATACAAATGTGTGACATAGACACCAAATACATTTCTAAGAGCAGATTTCTACATCTCTTTTATGGATCAAGTTCTGCATATCTTATTCAAATGCAACATCTGGCTCATTTATTGTAATAAAAGTCCCATACAAAGCAAAATTCTTACCACTGATTTCCTAATATTCTTATAGAAAGGATTCCATCCTATGCTTAAAACCATTTTATGCACATCTCCATTTCCGACGCAGGCCCATCCATAGTATATACCAGTAGAGATATCAGACGGAAAGCTTTCAACTACTTGCTCAGAAAAGTTAGCTGCAAAAATTTTACAAAGTGTAAAGTGTGAGTGACTTTGTGTAAGTCAAGGACATACCAGAATCTTCAGACACTTAAAAGCCAAACTCTGCCCGCATACTATTTATAAACTTAACAATGATGATGATGAGAATGATACAACATGCCATTTGACAAAATATAAAATACAAAACGGCTTCATTAAATTCTGTCCCTGTGGTAATACCAGAGTTATCTCATCTTTTACGCATACAACATTTTATAGTTATACACATTGTCTTCTGCAGTAATAATTAATAAACACATAATAGATCCAGTCAGAATACATTTCACTCTTAGGATAACTATCACAGCTTCAATATTAAAAGATGCATGGGTGAAAGAGGAGAAGAAAATCAAGTTCCTTCTGCACTATTGTTAGCAAAATAATTACTTGTGAAATAAAGTAAGTAAAAATAAATTAAATTACAGTTTAGTCACCTGCCAATTTTGTACAAGTTGCCTTTTGGAGGCAAGTGTGGACTTCTGAGATTTTCTTTGAAAACTATCTACAGTAGAATAAATTCCCTTCTGACTGAACCTAACATTCTTTCAAAATTAGTATCCGACTTCTCATATGAGCTGATCTCTTCATGCAAGACATCACGCTGATCTGGAAGAATTTACAGTGACTGAACTTTCATCAAAGCTCACAAGCCGTAACAACCTCCCTCCCCTATCCCCCGGTACCAGTACAACACTTCTACACATTCAAGAGAAAAAAGCGACATTATTAACAGACGTTGTCAGAAATCCAGCACCTCAAGATTAGCCTTGGAAAGTTTCCTTGTCTGCTACAAGCAGGGCAACATGAGAGTCGACTTCACTGTGTTTAAGACGGGCCAGAACTCACTCGGATTACGCATCCGTCTGTATTCAGGCAACGGGAACAGAGATAAGCAACAGGAAAATGGGTTTCCTTGCAGGGCAAGCCCACCCTGCTCTGCTTTTTACCCTGCGCATTGTTCTCCTGGAACTTCCTTCCTCACCGCCCTTCCCAGCGCCTACTCCCTGCCTTCCTCCAGCCCGAGGCTGGCGCCCACGGGCGTCTCCCAGGCTGCCATCCCACCCCACCCCGCTCCCGACCACGTACCTACATCCCGCGCGCACACCGTTAGGACGACCCTTGGGAGGTTAAAGGAACAGCGAACAAGACCAAAGGAAACCACTTAACGGAATGGGGGGGACACGAACACAAAAGAGGGGTACGAGACTCTAAGCAACGCGGGGGG